GTTGGGGGCGATATGCTGACTCTGTAAACCGCTTAGAGAGGGCTGAAAGCCCTATGAAGCGGTATGTAAGTCTAACTGCTATTGCTATTGCTAACCTAGTATTGCTACTTACCTATTTTATTCAACACCAAAACCAATCTCTTGTTGGTTCCAGCCTGCACCACTGCCTCTTCAACCTGGGGGCATCGGCAACCTTGGGGATCGCGAGCATCAAGGACTTCCAGGATCACATCGGCTGCTTCAATTACCTGGAGAGAGTAAAGAACTGGAGGCCATGGTGTCCAAACACTGATCCAGCCCACCCCAACAGAAGCCTCCCCATCTACAGCTCTATTTTTCTTGGTGCTAAGTCACATCCGTCAAGTCACTTCCGTCTTCACTGACCTTCCTGAACTCTTTGTAATACGCCTTGCAGGAGCTGTCTTTTTCCAGCAGGGAATGTTTAGCCAATTGCTTCAGATCCATCTCCTGTGGGAAGAAGATGATTATACACACGGCCAAAGGGATAGAATTAAAGTTCCACTAAGACAGATGGCACAGCGGTGGAGGTGCTCTGGCTCTGCAGGGAGAGCTGGGCCAGGGCATTGTGAGGCTGGGAGGCGCACGAGCAGGAGCGGAACAGCCGCTTGCACAACCACCCCCCTCCAGCCATGCAGAGTGCCATTCACTGCCATTTCAAATGCGCCAAGCCGCAAGAACCAGGCGGCGGCGAATAGACGCTCACACGGTGAAAGCTGGGTGGCAGCGAACAGGCGCTCAGGCGGCTTAGCGATACTCCTAGGTCAGTGAATGGCACTGTGCCCGGCTTGAAAGGGGGTTTGCCGGGTGGCTGCTCGTGAGTGTGTACGCTTCATGGTTGCTGTGCTGCGCTGCTGTGGCAGCGCAACACATCCGTTTGTCCCTGAAGCTGTGCCTGGATCTTCGGAACCCCGCTCGCAAGAGCGCAGCCACCCGGCAACCCCAAAACAATAAGCCCTCCCTTGATAATAAGGCCCAAGCCATATTTTGTGGGTAAAAAGAAAATAAGACCCTGTCTTATTTTTGGGGAAACACGGTAGTTATGAATTGTTAAGCATATTGTATTGTTATGCATTCTGTGTCACTGAGAGACTAAGAATCATTACTAAAATAACTCATTGTCATTTTAAAACTAATTCCACCCTCTGGCTTAAAATGGGATGAAGAGATGCTCTAATTTAAAATTAGAAATCTGGTGACACTCTTTCAGACTAACCACTTTTGATTAAAAGGCATGCCTAGTCATTCTATGCATCTGATGAAGTTCACAAAAGCTTATACCTGTTAATCAAACGTTTGTTAGTTGGAAAAGACATTATCAGAGTAGTTTTTTGCCACTCTACCCCAATACAGTTCTCCTCCTATGATGCCTGTTGCAACTTAGAAAACAGCAAGCCCTCGGATACCTTGAGAAATGTTCTTTTTAGAGTGGGGATGGGGGAATAGCCAAATAGAGAGGGAAATTTCAACTCACTAACTGATTTGTTTTATGCCTTTTTGTAGAAATGATTGGCATTGGGCTTTTTGTAAAAAATGAATGAGAAGAAAATTGCAACCCAATTCAATCACTTGAGACCCTTTGATAATACGCCAAGAACTGAATCCGATTGAGCTCGTTAGGACGTGTCACCAAATAGACCAGCGATAGTCTGCTTTGTGAGAAATCCCATATGAATGATTAAAAATCAATCCAGAATTAAAACTGGGATTCCCATAGTTATTTTCATACGCTACTTTCCTACTTAAATAAGAGATTTGAGATTTATTAGATTTATATGCCGCTCTTCTCCCAAGGACTCATGGCGGCGTACAACAATTAAAAGAAACACATAATACAAAAGTTTAAAAAAAAAAAAGGAATATCCCAAACCCAATTAAAATGGACAATACATTTTTTTTTTAAAAAATCGAATTAAAATTAACAGTGGTCAATGTTATTTTGTTTTGTTCAGGCCTGGCTGGCTTGCTGGAAAAGCCAACTT